CTCTCTGTCTGTCTCTCTCTCTCTCTCTCTTGCAGGTTGCTCTTAAAACTCACTCCCAGACTTTCCCCATCATGTCAGGCGATGCTCGGGCCCTTCCAACTTCATCCATCTCGATTTTCGTCGCGCGATTCGCGGCGTGACGCGGGGTTCACACCTGCGCCTCTGAAAATGCAGAGCGATTTCGTAGAACCCGTCGGTCTGCATTTTGAACGATGTCAAAATGCAGACATTTTGACGTGATTCTGATGTCGAAATGGGAAATCAGAGGCGTCGAGATGGAACCTGCAGATCGTGAGAGACCATTCTCGAAGCTCCGTTTCGTCGATCGTGCCAGATTCCTCCGAAGTCTCGGTCTTGCCTGGATTCCGCCTCGCGACACGTAGCCCGTATTTCACCGAAACTTCCTCTGACAACTGCAAAACATGGGAATTTTTCCGCCGTTTCCCAGACGACATCTGATATACTGCTTACTGCTCTCTTTGCCTTCCCGTTCCAAGCACATCCATTAGGGATTCCCGTCTTTCTCAGCACTTTTTCCCCCCATAATATTTCATCGTTCGCATTTTAGCCGAGCTCACTAACAACTGCTTTGCATTCTGGGTTAGGGTTTCGCCGAGAGTTTAACGGTGAATCTTGCGGCATCTCCGATCCCTTCCGAGATCTCTTATTGCGGCCCCATCTCGGATCTCTCTGTTCGGTCGCATCTTTAAAATTCCCACAAGTCCGAAGCCATAACGCGCGAGTGGAGCTTTGACCGTCCGATTTTATTTCCGTCTTTGGTCCTTCAAGTCACGTCCAAGACATTCTGTTGTTTTCGGGGGGGACTTTTTGTCTATCCCCACATCTCCCTTCGGACCTATACATAATTCTGCGCCACACACATCGGGCGATAGGGATCATCCCAACCTGTCATCGTCATTGTATTCAGGACTCCGGTAGCAATATCGCCTCGCTCGACGGGAGATATCTGGCCGGGGCAACGAGTAGGGACGGACGCTATAAATTACCAGATCCCAACTGCCAATCCGGGATTTATTCTCCTGTCCTCATTATAAATAACGACATGGTATAACGAGGTATAGAAAAGACTCGTTTCTCGTTTCTCTATCTCTCCCGAGCATCTGTCTCGATATGAAAGACTGACAGGGACCGGCTTTTTTGATGTTTCGCCCACGGCCCTCCGTCCCTTTCTTAATGGTCTCTTGGTGGTCCCCCCCGTCCGAGAATGACACGGATGCCTTCGGCTCTCTCTTTCTCTCTCTCTCTCTCTTGTTAATTTGCGTGCTAATCTCGGTTCGCCGAGTCGTACAATTAGGAAGCATCCGGAGGATGAGTCGACTCGCGTCGCTTCACATTCGCGACCTAAAAATTCATCGCTCGTTTCCGGTGAGATATATGCCAGCCTCTCTGTGTGACTGGTGACATTTTCCAAAGAGTTCCGGCAATTTTTTTCGGCTTTAAATATAGGAGGCAAGTGGGTCTTCTGGCAGAACCGAGAACAACACATGGTACGTTTCTCATTATCAACCGAGACCTTATCGAGACACGAGAGCCCCACAGCCCATCACACGACCACACCTCTCCTTACAAGCGAAGGAAATGAGATGAATGCACGAAGTCTGGAAGTCCACAGTGGGTGGTCCCTGTTATCCAGGCATTCGAGCGGTGGAAGTGGAGCGAGATGGTATGGAGGTGACTCAGCATGCACATTGATTTATGTTCGGGTCGCAACAACTGAGAAGATAATAAAACGAGAGAGAGTGAGGGCTCTAGGTAAAAACCAGAAGCCGAGCGAGGGAGACACCTAGCGGACGAGATAAAACACACATCGCATTGCCATGATTTATCTCCGATGTCAGTCGTAAATCAAGGGGAGTCGGGCTTTTGTTTTTCCGATCCCCTCTCCAATTTGATCGCCTTCGTTGCTTCACGCAAAGGCAGAGATCTGATCGCCCTGGAGATGATATCGGGGCCCACATATAATATTCTGGTATACCAGCCACGTACAGGGTTGCTGGATCCCCTTTCTCTCTCCTCGTTTTATGGATTCGGCCTTGTTGCATACCATAAAACATCTGCAGTCGTAAATCACCGTTAATTGGGATCTATATTATTTTCTTCCCTTCGCTGTGTGACAGGAACTCGGAGGCGAAAGGGGGCAGGGCGAAATGTCCATAGAAAAAATCACGCATAAGCACACACGCTCACGTTATGAGATACACGTGTTGCATTCACGTCGTGGGTTGGTTTCATGTTCCTTTTTCGCCGGGGTGGAGTTCCCATCGTTTAGCCTTCAACTGTCACATTTTCTTTCGGACATTTTCTCCGGATAATCTTCTCTCCAGGATAATCTCACAGTGAAACTCAATCGAGGCGGAAAATGACAGTCCATTCTCTGATCGACAGTTCCGTTTCATTGTGTCCGGAGCGATAAAGATCACCGGGGATCGGCTCGGCTCAAAAGGGGGACGTTTTGCATTGGAGACGAGAAAAAAAAAGCTGTCAGTTTGGAGTGGATTTTGAGTGGCAAATCCCCGGATCGAGCATCATCCGCTCAATTAGTGTAACTGTATCTCCAGTGCAGATGTTCGTCTCATTGTGATGGGATTCGACAGGCTGGAAACGCATGAAATCCCCTCGTAAAATCAATGGACTGAGTCGGGTGGAACAATGAAAGGGCTTCGGAGAAAGCATGCAGACCATTTATCACCGAGGATGGATACGAAATATACACCCCGACGAAAAAAACAACCTCCAAGGCCGCGAAGTCAATTAATCTTTGAAAGGTATATTAAGTCGACTTCATCATCGAGGGAAAAATCTCCCGAGTCCGAGACAAACGAGCGAGTTTGGTTAATGCCGTTTGGGGTCGATCGATGGAATGAAGATGTATAATGGCGGCATAATGGATGTGTATGAAAACCCGCGGAATTCCGGTGTTGAATAGGCTTTCGACCGTTGTGTCCGACCCGAAGACCGAGATGTATGGCGGCCGTGACTGATGAAAATTGTGCAGAGGCGATTCCAGCCGGGGAAAAGGGAACCCGCTGCAATAACACAATCGTTTGTTACCTGTCGACGCGTTCGTCAATCACGGATCTAATTAGCATTGCAGATTCGGACGCGAGATGGATGTGTCACCCGATGATGGGCCGCCGATTTCCCATCACGTCTCCGGGTTATACTTATAGGGGATTCCCTGTCAACTCTCGTTCGCTCCACTGCCCAAAAAAAATCCGACAGCCGAAATTGAAGCCAACTTGACGTCCCCCTGACAACTTCAGACTATCCCATTTCCCAATCCTTCCTGTCGAGTGCGAGAAGATACGGCTTTGCATGGCCTTATTCTTCTGAAGAATCGGAGTCGTTAAGCTCGAAAGTTCGAAGCTCGTCTATCGACCGAAGAAAATGACGTCTATGTAGATAAACACCTGTCAAAAACCCGACGGTTTTTCAGAACTCATGCTGGGTTTCGGAGGGATGCCCGGGGAAAGGGGGAAAAAGAGGGGAGAAAAGGCCCAATTTCATCAACTGGAGTGTCATGGGATTCTTGTTTACCTTCTTTTTCGATGAATGATCTTCAACCCATTACCCCAGGAATCATTATTACTCCATGGGAAGATATTGTTCTTCCCCTATCATTATTTTAATCCCCCGCTTTCCAACTCTGATAGATGGTGTGTCTTTTCCCCCGAAAGAGGAAAACAGCCCCAAAGCAGAAATTACAAAATGTCAGAGTGGAATGGGAAGAAAACACGTTTCACGAATAATTCATGGTCTTCGGCTGCCGGCCTCGTGGGTCGCACCATCGACACGGTTCTGACTCTGTCTTCATTGACTTGAATGGAGACACATTCAGATAACATGCAGATAATTCACCGACCATCGGGGTCGGGCGTGTTTCGGCGTTCTGCGAACCCCGTGGCGCACCTGTGGGCGGGAACCCAAGGGAAAAACAAGCCCCGGTGAATGTCTCTAACGAGGCGGAAATTCATTCAAAAAGAAAAAGAATAAACGAGGCCGTTAATACCGAGCAGAAGAAAAGAGGCCGGAATAAGCAACAACCAGAGAGATTTATGAATGGAGCAAACCAGTAATCAAGTTTCTGGTAGAAACGGTCCTGCTCTCCTACAGCATTATGGTCAGTCATACGTAGAGTCGCATGATCTATGGCACCTGCTCCTAATGGCCCTTAATGACAACTCCGGCAAAGATCCCATAAATTGAGTGCCTTATTTATGGCACCGCCCTTCCTTGTATACGTACTACGCTACCGATTTTTTTTTCTTTCTCTTTTTCAAGCCCGTCGGCCTGACGCTTTACGACTGGCACGGTAGAAATAGCTTGGACGTGAAAGGTCAAAGAGTGCTTTTTCCCGTAATTTATATCTCGAGCGAGCCATGTGCCATTTTTCAACCTGACTGCAGCCTGTCAACGCTGTGCGATGGAAATATGGGGCGAGGGTGTTCTGCGCTGTCTGGATCATAAACGGCTTCCGTAATTAGTGAAGCTACAGATGATTGCAAGTTCCTGGCATTGTATCTAATCAGGAGATGGAAGAATGATAGGAACCTATCTACAAAACTTGCGAGAACGAGCTTCGATATGTCACGTGGTTATTACGGGTATCTGTTGACCCAACGAGCAACGCAACAGAAGGTCGCGGAATTCCTCCAATAATGAGCAAGAAGTGCAATTACGAGTGTAGGAGAACCGGGAAGAAAGTAAGATGAAGCCCTGGGATTCCTCGTATAGGTCACATGTCATGCCCGGAATTTGATGGATGGCTTGGAGATATCACAACATACATCATTACGAAAGTCTTGGCATCTCCCCTGTGACAAGTGTCCGTGACAAGCCGACCGATCCGACTTCCCAAGTCCTTGAGAGATCGCTTATCTTACTGCTCATACTGTACACTTCCCCAACCTCCTTCCTTGTATAGATCCTGGCGGTACGCGAAATGATAAGCGAACGGGATCCAGGAGAGGAACAAACATCTTCATTATATTTTCAATCTTATAGTTATATAGGCATCACGAAGAAATTGGGGGGAGAAAGGTGCCACAAGCATCTCTGGTCTCACAGATAAAAAAAGAGTCTCTGAAAAGCACTGGGATGACTTCAGGGATGAACAGCAGCGCCGAGCCGTGACCCGAACAAGGCATAGGGATTGTAATAGGGGCTTACGCCTGGTGGAAGGGGTGGCAGAGGTGGCAACGGGGCGGTTGTGGGAGGAGTCAGGGACGGAACCGTCGCAGGCTTCCCGTAAGGATGATACCGTAGATCGGAAAGGGGAGGGATGGAGGAATAGGCCCGATGGAGCGAGGACAGGCCCGGATGGACCATCGGGTAACCCAACAACGACAAGGCACTCAGGTCCCCGTTCAGACCCGTCGTATGAGTTCTCAGATGCGCGAACAGTTCGTCGGAGCTGGGGAATCGCTTCCCGCAGTAGGAGTCGCCCACGATCCAGTTGCAGACGTAGGGCATCGACGAAAACGCGGCCGCGGTCGAGACTGGGATTTTCGGGTGATCACACTGACGACATCCGCTGGGGCAGCTTCCCATGAGAAGGCTGTTGTGGTGAGATCCAAGACCGCAGCCGTTGCAATACGGATCGCGGCAGACAGCCGACGGCGATAGTCCTTCGCCCGCCTTCAGTCGGGCGTAACTCAGATACGGATTGAACGTGGATGTCATGGGATATCCGACTGGGAACCCCGGTGTGAATCTCAACAGGTCACGTTCTTGTCCCGGTAGACACACGTTCCCGCACAGGGGCGGAGGTAGACCCAGAGGCGGAAACATTCCCGGTCGATACGTTCCCAAAGGCATGTCCTTAGGATGGCCTTGAAGGACCTCCAAACCCGATCGCACTATCGGACTTGCAGACGAAGTTGGGGCAACACTGCTGCTGCTCGTCGCAGTCGGACTGCTGGAAGTCTCGAGCTTCGCAGACGTCGACTGGCGAATATCGACGCTGGTCGAAGTGACCGGCGTGACGGCAGCACTGCTACGCGACGACGGCTTCTCCTCCGTCGACGACGACGATTCCTCTCGTCTCTCCATCTTGCTCTTTCCACCTACGTCCGGCGTGGACGGGGATCGGTTGGAGCGCTTATCGACGTCGGATTTCGACGACTTCTCGATCGGCGGGATGATCGACTTGCTGTTGGACGAATCCGCCCCGATCTGGCTGCACGTCTGTGCCAACAACGCCAAAGGACTCTTCTTGGCATCCAACTATTTCGAGAGGGAACGGGAAGAAAACATCGATTGATACGTGGTTTCCAGTGGCCTGTCAAGGGACCCCCCTTGACAGACGAAGACGAATCGGAATGACAGCTTTTCCTTCTGTTCTTTTTCGAAGCATCAGCATGACAGTTGAAGATTGGAGTCATTTTGGGCTTAGCCTGACAACGTCACTTTCCGTTCCGGCTGAACTAATGATGGATTGCGAGCTCAGAGATATATTCGCCAAGCATTTCCACAAATCCAGCGGAAAGGAAAGGCTGTAATTTTCTCCTATCGCATTTCCTTATCGATGTTTCGAGCCGATGCGTAAATGGCTTTAGAGAGAGCCTATAACTGTAATAAGCTTCGTTCTCGTAACGATTCTGCAGCCTCGCGAAACTACGCAAACTCACGCAAGGAATCCATAGAACAAATATTTAGCTCTCTTAACACTCACCACCCCAAAAAAGGGCATTATCGCAAATCTACGGAATGCACATCGTACCCGATTCACTTGAAACGTACACTCATCAAGAAAAAGCGTTCATCTTTCAAAACCTCGCGCTCTCAACGAATCGGATGGCTCCAAGTAACATTGATGTAACTCACCGTGGTAGGGAGCGGGGACAAGTAGTCAGGCTGAAGATATTGGTTGTGATTGCTACCGGACCCGAACATGCTTGTGGAGGTGGGGACCGTGTGATGAGATGACGTCACTGCCTCCAGTACCACCATGGGTACTCAGATTTCAAAGCCTAAGCGAAGCAAATATCTGCAGAGTGGCAAAACAAACGCGTGAACCTCGAGCGCTCTCACTGCCTGGACTGAGTCAGGCCAGGCAGCAACACAGAGATACGGAGAGTGAGGAGGTGTGCGCATGCGCAGTGTCTTTCTCCCGGGACCAACGCGCATGAGCGGATGGGAGAAGAGAAGCATTTTGTACGCTCTGTCTCGGGGTTGATGGATGAGGGGACTGGCAACGCCGTGACACCTTACTGACGGGCCAAATGATTCTGACCCACCAGGGTGCCCCAGCCCCTTAAAAGCCCCCGCCGGAGATCCCCCCTTGCCGCCAAAGCTGATAATACCTCCCCCTCGTAAAGAAAGGAAGAAAGCAAGACGACCGTGGCCATTTGTTGTTGTTCTTTCTTGTCGGGCGCCCCTACACCCATTACGGGAATGCGATGGGCCTTCTTCTCCTGTCTTCGATGGCCCTCTAGTGCGGGTGAGAGATATGGGTCCATTCATCACCCGCGGGAGCCTATATCGGGATTAGGAAACTGGGGTGCGGCTTCTTTGTCACGTCCACCCAAATTGGATGGTTCGCGAGAAAAAAAATCGCCCAAAGTGGGAGATTTCCTTTCCCCTCGAACTACGGGGGGATAACGCAGATATAATGGCCGTGTCACGAGAAGATAGTGGATGGACCTCTCGCGTGATTTCATAGGACATCAACGTTGCATGGCACTGCGCTTTCACGTGTTGCTCTTTTCCCTCGTTTCGCTCCCTCATTACGGCTCGTCTCGGACCGTCTAATGTCCTGCCGCGAATGGGGCCAGATCGCAGTTTTAATTGCACGCC